AATAAGTATTTTTTAGTCATTAGGTACACTGAAATTTGAAGCATAAGTATTTGCTATCATTATATCTTCTTGTCGAATTATTCCCTTTTCAGTATTTACTGGCCTTCTTTGTCTCTTTTGATTATGTTTTACTTGAAATCAGCTTCATCAGATATGAGAATAGCTACTCCTGCTTGTTTTTGCATGCTATTTTTTTTATCCATTTATTTTTAGCCTATGGATGTTGTTGCCTATGAGAAGAGTCTCTTGCACTCCTGCACATAGTATATAGTTGGATCCTGTTTTTAAGTCCATTCATCCAATTCATGACTTTTAATAGGAAAGTTGAAAATATTTACATTCAAATTATTACATATAGCTATTTTTATTTCCTGCAATTTTTGTTTGTTGGCTATATTTAATTCGGACTTTATTTTCATTTATTAGTTGCTCTTCTAATGAGCTATATCTATTTAAGAGGTTTGGGGTTTGTTTATGAGTTCTTCTGTGTATGGTATATTTTTTAGTATTCTGTGTAGTGTTGGCTTAGTGGTCATGAACTCTTAGTTTATTCTTTTCATAAAAAGTTTTTTCTTTATCAATTCTGAAACTTAGCTTTGCTGAATATAGCAATCTTGACTGGCAGTGTTTTTCTTTTAGAGTTTAGAATATCTCATTCCAAGCCTTCCTTGATTTTAGCATCTGATTTGAAAAGTCTGAAGTGAGCTTTACTGGTTTTCCTCTAAATATAACCTAATGTTTTTCTCTTGCAGCTTTTAATACTCTTTCCTTATTTTCTATGTTAGACATTTTGATTATAATTTCTTGGAAAGGTTCTTTATTTATCTAATCTATTTGGGGTTCTGTATGCTTCCTTATGTGGCTGTTTCTCTCATTTCTAAGGTTAGGGCAACTTTCTGCTGTTATTTCACTGAAGATGTTCTTTATACCTTTAGCCTGTATCTACATGTTCTCTTCTATCCTGGTCACCCTGGTTTAGTCTCTTGCTGTTGTCCCAGAGTTCTTGAATATTCCAATCATGGCCTTTTTCTCTTTTTATTTATTGCATACTGAGTACTCAAGTTCATATACCCTATCTTCAAGTTCTGAAGATCTGTTTTTTATGTAATAAAATCTGTTAGTGGTACTCTTAAGTAATTTTTAATTTGATTCATTGTGTCTTTTGTATC